TTTGGCACGTTGGCGATGTTATTCTGGCAGTTTTCACAATTTGCCTTTTTTACACAAATGGGTTCGCTTTTTGTCGTGTATGCCTTGGACTTTATCCCACCAGATACAATGAAGACTTTACTCAGGGCTCACCTCGTGAGTTAGCTTCTTTTTTCTAACATGTAAAATTTTCGGACGAAATAAAGTTTATCTCATCGTATCATCTAGGAACTTTCTTTAGATTGCGTTCACTACAGCGTTTGCGTTGCTATTTGGTAACGAAATGTTGCTCACTTCCCTATATCTTGCTAGCATCATTGCTGCTTTAGTAAGTGCTGAAAAATTTTCAATTAACGCATTCCCGTTCAGAGTGCAAAGAGTTCTCTTTGCAGATATTGGTGTACTTGGATCCTGTTTTGAATAAAATCTCTTTACGCCCGCTATACTTTACATTGTCTTTGTTATGCTTTACTGCCGGAACGTTCAGCATCAAATTTGGGATTGGGAAGCTACTTCAAATTGAAGATGATGTGAGTGACTATGAAGTTTTCTTAAACGAAGTTCTCAATTGGCTGGTTTGTTAAGGCTCATATTTTCGACATCTTACGCTCAAAATTTTCGAATTATTCGACTTTTCACACGCGTCTCTACACTTGCTCTGCTGAGTTTGACTTCATCTCGCTTGAGGTAAGCATTTGATAAAATGAGACTTCAAAAGCATTTCTCTCGTAGCTCCCGCCTTTTGAAGACTCTCCAAAAGTTATGTGACACTTGGCTTATTCCCTGCGCAGTCTTGGGTGTGTTGATGTTTATTGTATATTTCATTTTTGCTGAGAAGAGTGATCTATTATGGAGAAGCAGCGAAAGGAGGAAACCTCACGCAGAAGTAAGTTGATTAGCCTCTAAAGTGAAATTTTCCGAATAAAGTTTCTTCTTTCCTAAAAATTAAAATGAAACGCAAAACAAGGAAGGTTTGCGTCAACAAAAAATCCATTAACTTTTGAGTAACCTCTCTATTTTATTTTATTTCAGGTCTTCTATAACGTCGTTCAAATGTTCTGTTATTCTGTTATGGCATTATTGATCATGCGACTGAAACTGTTCATGACACCACATCTGTGCATTTGCTGTGCAATTCTTGCCAACAACGAGGTACGTTCTTATGGAATCTGATGAGCCACTCGTAAGGTTGAGGAATAATGTAAGAATTGAACGTCTAGAGCCGCATAGTTATCATCTTCGAGATTTTCCCGCAGTTCCTCATGTTCACTCAGTTATCGGAAGGTGTAATTACTTTACTTTACACAATGTATTGCAAACCACAAAATTATGATTGCAGTGATTTATCTTTAAATTATCTATCAGTCTTCTAGGCAGTAAATAAAAGAAGAATTAGTGTATTTTAGATCGTCAGCTCTCTCAGAATTCGGCTAGACAAACGAATCCATGCAGTTCTTATCGTAGCAATGATTGCTGGAATGGCATTTGAAGGTTGAACCCAAATATCCAATATGTATATTTCTATTTGAAATTCATGTGGCACGATCGCTGCTGACGCTGGCTCGAGTACAGTGATGCTTCTATTTAAGGGAAGTCCAACATCGAAAAGCAGTTGCGAATAAAAGGAGAGTACAGCAATCCTGAGCAGGAGATGTTATTTGACTGGATTCTAGAGAACACTAAACCAAATGATGTTTTTGCGGGAACAATGCCTGTGATGGCTAATGTCAAACTATCCACACTTCGTCCTATCATAAACCATCCTCATTATGAAGACGTGGGAATCAGGTAATAGAGTTAGATAATGGTTCAATAACAGTCACCAAAATTGATACGTGCTGATTTATAGGGATCGAACAAAGAAGGTATACTCAGTGTTCAGCAAGAAACCAATACGCGAAGTTTACGATACATTGAAAAGGATGGGTGTAAACTACGTGGTCTTTCAGCTATTCAACTGTGCTCCAGAACCAAATAGGTGCCGTTTTTAGCCTCACTTCAGAATCAAAGAAAATTTTTCTTTTAAAATGCTTCTTGAGATCCATATAAAATCACAGCTTTCGAGGTTTCTTTTCAGCAAGTTTCAGTAGACCTATCACACTACATAATCCTTTTGAATTTGTCATGTACTGTATGAATTGTTTTAATTACGTTATGCTCACAAATAATAATTTTGGTATTTTCTAACATATTCAAAACTCATAAAATTTTCTCCTATGCTTAGCTATCGGTCATAAATCAGTCGTTCCAAGAAACTGGAAAGATGATTTTTACTTTAATTTAGGCCATACTGTGCGTATAGAGGAATGTGGGATGAAGAAGACAAAGTAAATATCAACCGCATTTCAAACTGTGATCTCTACAACGTTGCCGTAACACAGCACGACACAACTGTCATCCATCCTTTCAGTATTGCTTATACGAGGAACAACAACTACATAGTATTAAGAGTGTAGAATACTTTCTTATATGAAAAATTTGTCGGCAGATACTGGTAAATGTGCATGCTGTAATTCAATAGTTGCATCAATCCTTTAAGCA